GCTTTCTTTTTTATGATTATCACCCAAGCTCCATGTAAATGACACTGCCCTAATTTTTTTTTCTTTACTGAATTATAAATTTTGATGACTTGTAGTGCCAGAGGAATCAGAATAACTACTTCTAACATTGGGTTTTTGTGTAGTCTAAATCTCAGGCTTCTTTCCCTGGGTTTGCTTGAGAAAATGATTCCATATGCCATATGGCACTCTTCTTTAAAGAAGACAGTATGACTTGTGCTATGTTTTACCAACAGCAATCAATCAATCAATCAATCAATCGAACCAACAAGATAACTTTACATTCTCCTTCAATTACCCATTATCAATCCATTGCAGACCAACATATGATAAAATGAGCTTCATTTAAAGCAGAAGGGGTTGCAGATAAACATTTCAAAAAAAGTTTCTCGACTATTGGGGGGCAGAAAACACTAAAAATGGGCTATTGGAATAGTTAAATGCCTTCAACTCTGAACATCTTAAAGAAGAAACAAAACTTTGCATAAGGCGGTGATTTAATCTTTCACTTCTCTGAATATAAAAATAGAACCAATGTTTTTTCAAAACACTTTCAAGCTATAAGAATGTGATTTTGCGGAACACTGGTGTTGGGGACAGAAAATGCGTGGGGAAGCACGTAGCTCTGCATCATTGTTTGTTGTTGTCGTTTGTTGTATTTTGTTTTGTTTTGCATCATAGAAGTTTTTATTAAGTGGACACCAGGGGCTCCTCTAGGTACTTTGTCCACAACAACAAAGCACAGCATTTCTGGGACTTACCCTGCTGGTGTTTTGAGGTCTCTTACCAACTTCTTAAACTAGTCACAACAATTTCTTATATTTAACTATTAATGGGGAACATCAGAAATCACATATTTTTTTTTTTTACTAAGAGAAATAATTCAAATATACTTGATATATGACTTACCTTTGAAAAAATTTAAACATTTTTGGTAAATTAGATATTATCAGAAATTTACGTGATGTTGAAAAGACAATAATTCCTTTACTTTTTGTTTCACCACTGATGTAATGTTAAGTAACATCTTCAATGCACTATGGCTTATATAATAAATATGTTGAATAAATATGCTGAAATATGCCTTTCAGTTACTTTTCTTCAAGATTTTATTTACTTATTTGAAAAAGAGAGAGCATGCAAGCAAGAGAGCAGAAGCTGAAGGAGCAGCAGAAGGAGAGGGAGAAGCAGGCTCCCCTGTGAACAGGGAGCCAGAAGTGGGGCTAGATCCCAGGACCCTGGGATCATGACCTGAGCCGAAGTCAGCTGCTTAGTGGACTGAGCCAACCAGGTGCCCCTCAGTTACTTTTTAATGAGAAAAGGATACAAACCTCTTCTTGTACTTTGAGACATGTTATATCCTCTCAAATAGAAAACTCTACTGAGCTGCTTCAGGAAAGCCATCCTCCTGAGTCACTCTCAAGGATAAATATAAGTAACTATTCACATATATACCTTCTGGCAGCTCATGTGTGTGGCTGCATTTTGCCACAGAGTACCTGTCTATGTTGTGCCAGAGATCAAGGTTATTGTGTGTTCACTCTCCCTGATTGGTTTCACTACTGACCCCACTAAGTTTGGCATGCTTCACCTGAAAATAGAAATAATAGTCCGCTACTGGCAGGGAGGCAGAAGCAACATTTTTAGGGATCTCTTTGAACTTAATGATTTATCAAGAATCGTATTGTTCTCTTTCATAGTCTAGTATTTTCCCCAAGGAACTGTAAAATGTGAGCAGCTTCAGTTTACTTTGACACAATTAAACAGCTAAGCCAAAAACAACCAAGACCAAAAATAAAAAAACAAACAACAACAACAACAAAACACAAGTCCAAGAAAGACAAAAACAAAACAAAACAAAAATAAGAAGAAGAAGGCAGTAAAATCACATGAAAATGAAGCTCACAGGCCCAGATATTTACAAAATGTCTATAATTGCAGCAAACTTGGAAAGATGCAATTCAGATTTGGGGAGAATGAGGATAAGGATGATTGTCATTCCTAACATAAACATGGAGATTGTAGATCCTTGGGTCCTGGGAGGTAAGATACCAAACTTTTCTTTTCTATTTTGCAGGTAAAGAAAATGAGTATACAAAGACTAGGTGTTTTTTAACCAATGTCTTCTGGCTTATTGGTTCTTGACCCATGGTTACACACCCATGTCTCTCCATTTTACTTTCAGCAGTGGGTGCTAGTTCTTGGATTCAACATTTGTAGGGAACAGCAAACCAGAGGGCTAATACCTCTAAGAGTTTCATTGATGAGATAATTACATACTTGCAGCATACATTTCAGAATCTATGTGTTATAAAGTTTCTCTTATTCTGTTAAACAATAATAATAATTTTTAAAAAAAAAGTGTGACCAGTAAGATGGCAGGGTTGCAAATGTCCCTAACTATCATGGTGATAAAAGTCCGCAGATAAAAATATCGATTGTGGGAATCCAGCATGCCTTGACTCATGTACGAGCACTTCAACTTGTCACATTTAAATGACAGGAGCAGTGTGAAGAGGTACATCCTGTTCTACAAAATTTAACCTGTTTCTGGTACTCAGGAAGCACTCACAAGCACACATCTACACCAGCAATTACAATGCTGAATGATGCTCTGTTTTGATTGAAAGATCCTTTAGTGGCTAAAAGTATCCAGATAGGCACATCCAAATGAATATTTAAATACTGCTACCTTCAATCTCTCCCTGGGAAGAAGTATACACCAATGATATCATTTTTCTGCCTAGAAAATATAAATATCCAGTGTCTCTAAATTTCTGAATGACAGGGAATGCAATTCTCCATTTTGGCTGTTAGAGATAAATAGAGGGTTTTATTTTTTGGTTTTGGTTTTTGGTTTTGTTTTTGGTTTTGGACCACTGAATTATACAAAATGGAAATACGGGGACTTCAGCATTTTTGGCCACCTGACATTTCTAAATGAGTGTATTGCTGAACACTAAACAACAGAATTCAAACCAACAGACTAAAATGACCTCCAACATGAAAGTTTCTTTTTTTTTTTTCTTCTTAAAGTACATTAAGACAAATTCAATAAGGCAGAGTAACATCTGAGAAGGAACTTATTGGAGAAAAACATAACAGAAGCAGGTGCTCTCACCACAGCTGACCTTGGCTCCAGCTTGAGCAAGATATGTCCTCCAAAACCATCGACATGCTCCTACATCTCATTGCATTTGTGATCAATTTAACTGAAACGTCTGGAGATAAAAACCTGCCATGAAACACAGCTGCGACTTTTCCTTTTTGACTCGTGCACAGTTTATCACATATTCAGGGCATATGATAATTTCATAATGACATGAAATTTGCATGGAAGGATAAAAAATATTATTCCATCTTATGTATACCTTTCTGGCAGAAAGATTCAATAATACTGCCTGAAGATAAATTAAACTTTGGCATGGAATATAATATTTGAAAATTGCAAACTACTTGAATTGATTTCACCAAAAAAGACATTAAATCTTGATGACTAGCAAACTTCTTCAGAGAAATGAAATGTGATGTTTTAATAGGATTAAAACAGCAATATAAATTTTCAAAAATATTTTAAGAGTAAATCATATCACTCATGTAGGTTATTAATTAAGTAAATGTCTTATAATCATAAAAATGCTTTAATCTTTTATAGCTTCTGCTAGATAAGTAAAACATGACAGATGAAGAAAGAAATATGATTCCTCTTGAGAAGAGAAAATATGACATATTCTGCTACTTCTTTTTTTTTCTTTTAGCTGGCATGCTTTTAGTGACTGTTTTTGTCAGAGTTAAAAACTGTACAAAACTAATTTAAAGAAAACTTGTAAGAAACCCCCGCTGATTGCTGATGGCATTTTATTACTAGCAGTAAAACTCTATTGTGTGAGAGTTGGCTAAATAAATAAATAAGGAAAGAAAATTAAATCTGGATTGACTGGAAAATTTTGGACCTTACTTATACCACTGTTCTAAACATCTGAACTTCAAGGTTTATGTAAGAACAGCTTTTTAGCTTTGATAATATTACAATGGCCCTATTATTTATAGCTATATTTTGTACCTTCAAGATTTGCAAGTCCTACTCAACCTACTTTCAAAAAATCCTTTCTAAATTACAGCTGTGAGGTTGCCCTTTCCTACCCAGACTCATGTGGCTAAATTCCCTTCCTCTCTATTGTTGTCTCTCAGTGTCTCTCTTTCTTACACATACAAACAGGACACAAGCTCTTTGTAAAGTAGTGTCACCGCACAATTTATCTTTCAATGCCCATCATCCAACAAGGTGCCTGACTTGTTTTCAGTGTTTAGTGACTATGGAATAAAAGAACGAATGGACTCAGTAAGTGACGTTCAAAACTTCCTGATACCCACTATAAGCAAGGGCGGTCAGTTCAGATGAAAAACTAATTCTGAGTCTCAGGAGGAACTGCTCAATGGAGCGACATCAGCTCAAGAACTAGACCTGCTTTTCTGTGCAAATGTAAGGCAGTGACCTGAATGATGTGATTTCAGGGAGCATCAAAGAAACCTATGCAAAACAGTAGCTCCTTCCTCCACCATATGACTGGTGACACATCCCTTTGAGATACTGTAACATGTTTTATTGCACAGTTATCATTCATTATCAGGTGTAATAAGGTGTAAATAGCTGATATTTTCTTTTTCTACAAGTGTATTTTGACTATAAGAATGAAAAATATTAGGGGTCCTTGGACATCTGAAAATAATATGTACAAGGAGAAAAGAGACAAACTCTGAGACCACCTCAAAATTTGCTAAGGGGTGGCATAATCTCTTATTGTCATGGCTATGAAGCTAGAATGAAAAGAATCTGTAAAATCAAATTTATAATTATAAATGCCTTGTGACATATTTTAACCATCCCTCAAGTATGAAACAAAATCATAATTTTCTCTGGGTCTGGTAATACAGAAGTCTAATAGGGTATTAGCACAGAGGGAACTCAAGATGTCCCTTACCTATAAACAGCTGGCTGTTCAGCTGCAATCGGAAATGGCCTTCCTCTGAAGTCTCCCTGGTCATCCTTGGGAGGTTGTCCACCTGAAGTGAAGTCTCCTTGAGGTTTCTCTCAGCTTGGACGTAATGCCATTGGTTGTCATTCAGAAGAGAAGGAGAGTGAACTATGAGCTCTACGGGGCCATTCCCAACATCGATGGCAAAAGTGATCTCAGATGGAGCTGAAACCAACAAGGGAAACAGGTAGGAAGATGAGGGAAGGTGTCAGTCAGTGCATTGAGATCACAAGCACACCCTGAATGAATGGTGTAAATGACTACAAGTCAATACAAGGTGAGGAAGTCTTCAGTTGAAATCTCTGCAGTATTAAAATTATCAGTTAGTTGCGAAAATTACCAAATATTAAGTCCCAAGCTCTTTTATGACCCATTTGGTACTCATTGTGAGAATTGAGGAAACAGGATAAGGGCTTCAGCCACAGATACCAATCTGATAAACACGCATCAGTGCCAAGGCTCTTGGTTTTCTGGGTCTATTTTGTCTTCAATTGTGTCTTCATGGATATGTGTAGATACTGGATTAGCTAGGCCACTGCATTCCTGCAGGGAGAGGATTCATACCCTTGAATGTCCAGTGATCTCCTCCATCTTATTTCATTAATACATGTGATTATAAGCATCCATGCTATTCTTATGGCCTTTTACCTCTTTTTCAAGGAGACTCAAAGTTTAAGTGCTAATCTCAAGGACATATCATGCACGTAGTGGTTCCTGGGATCAAACATAAGTCCCCATCCCTCTTCCATGACTCTTTCTGCCTTTCTATATAAATCTGCATGTCACACATGCCAGACGTCACCCAGTCAGGAGTAATAATACCAATGATGATGATTTGGTACTCGTGTTGGCATCAGTGGTACTGGTGGTGATGATAGTATTGGTGATAGTGGTGGTGGTGACGATGATGGTGGTGATGGTTATGATGATGGTGGTGGTGGCCATTGAGGGAGATAGAGAAAGAGAGAAAAGTAGCAGGGACACAATAGGTACAATGAATTCTGCTGAGTGCTATACTAAATTCTGGCCATTTTAATTCTGACCATTTAATCTGTCATTTTAATTCTCAAAACAACCCGAGGATAAAGGTATAATTTTTATTCCCATTCCATGGGTGAGAAAAGAAGTGTAATTTTCTCAGTTTCTCAGACAGGACAAAGAATTTGACTCTAAAAGTAGAATTCTTCTCTATTTTTCTCTATTGAATATGTCTTTTGTATTTTGCATTATTAAATAAGATTTTTTTTTAATCTGAAGGATATGGAGAGGCAAATTATAAGTTGATGGTGATGAGAGGACAGTCCCCTTTCAGTCACTAGAGCTGAGGCCTTCCTATGACAGACCTTCCCTTCCTTCTAAGCACCTTGGACAGCCCCCCTCTCCTTTACACCTAAAACAGGATATGGGTATTTATTTGACAAACTCATTAATTGAATTATCAGTAATAACAAATGTCAAATAGCACCCTGGACTCTCCCTCCTCAGCCTTCAAATCCAAACAGAGAACCAGCCTTGGTATAAGAAGCCCCCCAGTAGGTAGAATTTCAAGTAACCGAGAGCTTGAATGTTTTGCATTCTGGTCAAGGTGAGCCCTGACCTAAAAGAGTTAGAGGCCCTAAACTGGGATTTGAAAGCATGTACTCTGGACCCACATTTCCAATCTTGTCACACCTCAATTTTCTCATTTGAAAAATGGGAATGAAAATAATACCTAAGTGTCAGGTTGTTTATGACTTAATCCTGATGAACTTCATAGAACCATACCTGGTCCCTAAGATGAACTCAAAGGGATCACTATTGCTGCTGGTATAGTGACATAGTGAGTTGTGACCGACTCAGTCCCCTGGCTTTGGCTCAGAAACCCATGCATTAAAGGAGACAGAACTGAGGTGAACAAATTGGGTTCAACAATTAAAACATTAAATAAGAATGAAGTTGGCTCTTTGAGCCATTTCCTGTTTCTTATTCAGGCCACAGATGCCACCTTGCAGCCCTGCACATCTTGAGATCAAATAAACACTAACTGCAAGATAACTGGGACCTCAATTTATTTCTCTCTGCAGAACCAAGGTAAAGATTGGTGAGAATTGGAGAGGAAAAATGTTAAAGATTTTGTTAAAAGCCTTTCTGCAAAGCTGGTCTTGTGGATATTAAGTTCTACATGGACAGCACCTCTTTATGGAGCTTTCTTTGCTCTACTGCTGCATCTGCCCACCACCCCTGCCTCCCCCCATCCTTGGTAGGGTTCCTGTCCAGGCTTATCCCTGCTCCAACATTTATCCATCTGTTGTATAATGATCTTTCTAGGGTCTGTCTCCCCAACTAGTCTGCAAACTCTAGGTAAACACCTCAACTTTTGGACATCTAACACCAGGGCTTGTATATAGGAAGCTCTCATCCAACTAAAGGATTGTTCATTAAAACGTTACACCACACACACTAAATACAAGTTTGTAATTTCTTTTAGATTTTTTTTTAGTTTTATACCAAGGCATTAACTTCCTTGACAAATATTTTAATTATTATTATTTAATTTTATTTAGGTCACTATTAAAGACCTACTTTATTTAGCCTATTCCTCCTAGAACTGGGGGACAATCAGTAAAATGCAGTAATCAGAGCTAATGTTTATTGAGTGCTTACCACTCTGCCAAACACTCTGCTATACATTTTTCATTAATGAAATCCTTAATATTTTAAGCCACACTATACTCTTATGAGACAGGTAACATATAGCAGCTTCAGGAACTGAGCTCACAAGTGGCTCCAACCCAGATGGGGCAGAGTCAAGATTTAAATCCAGGTGATGTGTCTCTGGAGCTCATTTTTGAACCCACTCTCCTTATGAAAAAAAAGCTTCTTCCCCCAAACTTAGGCAGTGCCCCTGGGGGAGGGGTTCAAAGCTAAAATATGTAATAGAGGTGCCTGAAAACAACTAAACAATAACAATGTAAGTAAAAAAGTGATATTTCCAACATTGCCTAGTGACTCAGGATGGGGATCTGAGTCAAACATAAGCCTGCTCTCCTTTGCTGATAGGATGGTCATCACCCGATGGCCCTGGAGGTGAAAACCAGAAGCCTTGTGTCAGCTCTTAGCTCCAGCATGAATTTACCCCCTGGCCTTTCTCTCTCCCACCTGTCTGACAAATATCTTCCTTTCATTTACTCCCTTGTGGTTTAAGACGAAGCTATAGAGTCTGTTAGCCCTTCAGTGGATTTTTACCAATCCAGGTCTTGTGTTAGGCCCTGAGAATGCACAGATGAATGAAACCCAATGACCTCACAATGTACTTTCAAGATTGACAAAGAAAGAACATGCTAAGTGGAGGAAAGTGCTGTAAGTTCAAGAGAATGTCTCCCAAGTACTTCTAGAAGATGAGAATCTTTCTGAGTAGAGGCTCCTATATAATGTTCTCCCTTCCTAGAACTTCATATCGAATACCACCTTGGGCATGCAACAGATCCCAGGACCATTTATGGACAAAGAAGAAGTCACTTAACCTCTCTGACCTTCCATGCATGCATCTATAAAGTGGGAAATATGAACTATCTGACATATTGTTAAACATTTTTGTAGATAAGACAACTCAAGAAAAAAGGATATACAAATTGCTAAAATTGTGAAGACTTTCTGAATGTCTTATGTGTCAAATCACAGAAAAAAATAATTCTATTTTCTCTGAGTCCTAGCATTCTTCGGTTTTGAGGCAGTTTTGCAAAACAGAATAGGAAGTTGCACTAAGGAAGAAAGAGGTAGGTTGATCATTGATTCTGACTCTTAAACCAACTGTGTAAGCTGTGTAACTCTGGGTGTTTTACTAAGTCTCTCTAGGGTCACCCTCCTCATCTGTAAGTTGGATTAGGAGTTGAACAATGAAAATCATAGTGCAATATCTTGTGAACATCAAGAACAATTTTGTTTGAAAACAAAATATATAGTAAATGTATAAATAGCGTAAGTGGCAGAAGGAGAGGGAGAAGCAGGCTCCCCGCTGAAGAAGGAGCCTGATGTGAGGCTTGGTCCCAGGACTCTGGGATCATGACCTGAGCCGAAGGCAGATGTTTAACTGACTGAGTCACCCAGGCATGCCTGGAGACAACTTTAGATCCTATCAGTCTAGAGATGACACCAGAGAGATCTGCATAACAAACTTTACTAACTAGCCTTTATCACAACTTTTGGAAACCTAATATTGCTTTCCATTGTCCATTATTTCTCCATAATTTTATTATTCTCTGTTGAACACACTACATGATAATCTATAATTCTAAGCCACCTCTTTGAATTACTCATTTTTCTCTGTTCATCTCATGTGCACACAATGTGTGTAGATTGGTAAACTTCTGTTTGTTTTTCTCTTGTTATTCTTTTATTACAGGGGTCTCAACCAAGAACTGAAAAGTTAAGAGGCACATTGTTTTTCCTTCCTCCCTCTCCCACCACATGTAAAGGTGGGTCCTGGCAAAACCACTCTGCAATCTTTACTTCCATGGCCAGAAGCCTTGGCCAGAGGTGTTTAGGTGTTGCACATCAGGAGTTTCACCCATTAGCTGAAATGTAGCTCTCCCTTGAAGGACAGCTAGTTTTAGACTGAAAAAGATATTCAGAAGTCAGTGCAGGGAGAGAAATAAATTGAATCCAGATAACATTATGAAACTGATGAATCCAACCAGAAATAAAATATCTCACCAGTTCTGGACCTAGTCACATGTCTCAGTACCAGTGAATCCCCATCCTTGTATCTACTAGTTTAGATCAAGTTTTCTCTTAATTGCAGCCAAATACATCAGATTGGCATATGGGTGTCATAAGTCCCATTTTGCATAAGTAAGCACTAAAGGGGTAAAGAACATGTTCACAATTAAACTTAGAAGGATGGAAATTTGAATCACCTGGGGTTCTAAGCAATAGGCTCTTTCCACTATACCACACTGACTCTCAACAATTCCCCACTTCTCCTCTTTACCCACTCTAAACTATATTTCCATCCCACAACCATTGTGAGATAATTGTCAAATTAGCTCATTTTTTTTCACTCAGTCTCATTTGAAACAGATCCACTAAGACATGATACTGTGTAATGTCTTGTTTCTCATAGAATATGGACTAATTTCAAGGCTACATAATTCACACATCTTAGCTGGAAGTGACCCAGAAGGAAATAGATTGAAAATTTCATGGAGATGTCTTGTTCCCTGTTGAAAATATGGATATATCAACTTTGGAGGCTTTTGTTCAGATAGTTATAGAGGAATACTCCTTAGGGATGGAAAAGAAATCTATTCTGAGCCACTTCATGTGTTTAAAGGCCATTTCCTTTATAAGTAGCTGATCTGTAGAAGTATCTTGTTATGAACCCCTTAGGGTGAAAATTTTATCTACAGAAAGGTAAAGGATGAGTATAGCTGTTAATAAGAAATACAAGATCTCTTCCAATTTATTTTTTTCCTTTTAAATAATAATAATAATAATAAAATATAATATTTTGAAAAATATGAAGTCCTGCATTTTAAATTTTTTATATAAAAGCTTCTTGTTTCAAAAAAGTATATGTTCTTCAACCTGGTGAAAAAACTGTATGGCAATCAATTACATCAACGGATTTTTAAATTTTCTTCAAATTAAATACCAACTGAATTTAAAACATTTTTGTATAACCCGAAGGACAAAATACAGTACCAGAAAGTACAAACAAATTGGACATTGAAATGTAATTAACACTAAATCATTGCTCATTATCTTGTGATAATATGCCATGACATTTGCTGCTGCTTTAATGAATCAAAAGGCCTTAGGGCCTGATTTTTATTAAATTTACATTGAGGTCATTATATCCATATTATGCAATGGTTGGCACTCAACCCCACATTTTCAGAGCCTGGCTAAGTTAGATAGGAGAGATCTTATTTCACACTAAAGCCACAAGAGCTTCCTCCCATTTATAGTCTAAATCTTCAGAGTAAAAGGAGGTTAAAGCTACCAATTAAAGAGATCTCTTTCCTTGTATGTATTGTTCTGTAACTGCAAAAGAAACATTTAACTGCTTGGTGATTTACAGGGAGCTGGTGCAAATAACTCAGTTATCTCCTCCAGTTAGTGCTTTTGTTTCTTTCTCTGGAGCTCTCAAATTTTTAAGCTCCTCTTACCGGAACATTACTTATGCTTTTAAGGGTATTTCATGCAGGGGGTTCCTGGGTGGCTCAGTCCTTAAGCATCTGCCTTCAGCTCAGGTCATGATCCCAGGGTCCTGGGATCCAGGCCCGCATTAGCTCCCTGCTCAGCGGGAGGCCTACTTCTCCCTCTCCCACTTCCCCTGCTTGTGTTCCCTTTCTCGCTATCTCTCTCACTGTCAAATAAATAAATAATTTTTGAAGGGTATTTCATGCAGTCACATCAGTATCATAGTATTGGTCAACTGCCTCCATCAAACTATAGAAAACATCTGCGTAGACACAGATAAATAAGAAATCTAATGACAAGCACAAGTCATCATGGTCAAGGCTTAAAAAGGGAAAGATGGTGGGAGTAGTCCATCTTTGTAGAAGAAATATGGGGGGAGGCGGCAGTAGGTGCAAAAATTGGAAAACCAACAAAAGCAACTAAAAGTAAATGCTTTTATTATTGCCACGCACCAGCAATTCTAAATAGAATCAGTGAAAAACATTCTTCTACCAAAAAAAGCCTTTTGTTGGTCTAAGTTCTAAGAAATGCTGATGTCAGTATGAATTTTTAATAACGTATATATAAGCCTCAAATAGCATGTTTTATTACTTGTCACTTAATAAATATTATATTCAAGAGGAAAGTTAATTCAGACAACTCCAGTTATACCTTTGGCTTCTGAACATGCAGACTCAAATACACAGGCTTAGTTCTAAGGGTCAGAATACAACTTCTGATTTCTCATTTGTACAATTACTATGCTACCCTTGTTTAACTCAGACCTACTGTTGAAACACATGAATACACATTAATACAGGGCTTGTGGACACAGATTGCACCCAAAGAGAGCTCACACAACTGCAAACATTTAGGAACTCCATAATATTTTACCAAATAGAATAGCGATCTGTGATAAAATTTCTAGTGAAAATATTTTAGTGATTTTCTTATTGATTGCAGAGATATTTAAAAGTTGCTAGAACTAATCGTGAAGAAAACACATGGAAAAATCATAATTCCTGAAATTTATTATAAAACAAAGTATTTTTATGAATATCAATCAAACTTATCTTTATGTTTAGAACCTTTCCTAAAATTTACATGTCTGTTGCTTAATGTGAAAAAAAATATTTTTTAAATTTAAAAATAGTAAAAGTATCCTTTGATTGATATAAGATATCTGATTATATTCTGATTATATTCTGTTTTGAACATACACATGTGAAGACTATTGATTTTAATAAAGCCATGCACAAATTTGTAGAAGTAAAGTTGGAGGAACAGAAATTTTAATATGACTATTACTGGAACAAACCAATATACGGGTATGTTTTTGTCCTTTTTACTAAAAAGAAAAAAAAAAAGGACTAATGTTAAATAGAAACCATTCATGTCTTTTCTTTTTTGCATGTATTTTTTTTTAATTGGCCTGATCACATATAAGTGTTCAATATTAGGATATTTTGCCATCTACATTTCTATTATTCTTCTTTTAACTTTATGATCGTTACTGATACAACTTGTGTGTAGGAAATGGGATGTTAGACAATGATCCATATTCTGGTGTAGCTACACCACTGCTTATGGGGAAGTAGTTGAAAAAGAGTAGGAATTCTGATTGGGTAGTCACACAGTCCTAATGGTGAAAAATAAATCAGAAATTACTTTCAGAGCAAAAGTACCACAACAACAAAAAATAGACCCTAATTATGAATAGAATGCATGATAATAATACATTAAGCTTTCCATGGAAATTGTAGTGAAAAACTTCTGGGGTATCGAAGCTTAATGTAAAAGGTAAGCAGTACCCATGGACAGATAAGGGACACTGTAATAAGTACTATGGGGATTTGAGGAATACACTATTTTGAAGAGAGAACGATTACATTCTGATAGGCAATAATAAAACAAACAAAAACAGTTAGAAGGAACTAGAAATTAGCATGACTATTTTTACAGATTACCAGAGGCATTAGTGTGATAGTATCAACATGTACTAGCCATCGTTGGCAAAGATAAGACTTGGACTTCTGTTGACATTATGTTAAATTCATAAATGAGGGCACTTACAGCTTATTTCAAGTCGGATGAAGTCTTTAATGCCAAGGTTTTCTAGGAAAACTCCCGATAAAGCCGTGGTTTTAAAAAAGAAGGAAATATCAGCACTGAACTCCGCGTGGAAGGTAGGAAAGTGGAGGTAAGATGCTTCTGTATAAAACGATACCGCATTCCAGAAGAGCCCTGCGAACGGAAATACCCTTAAGCAGGGTTCATTGTTTTAGAATGAGATGTAGAAAAGCACTGGACATGTGAAAAATTTTCAAGACTGAGGGACACTTCAGGAAAAGGGGATAAGGGAATAAAGACATCTTGTGCTTATGCAATGAAGAGAGAAAGCGAGAAAGCTTTTTTTTTTTTTTTCAATTTAGTACTCACGGTCTCCATAGCAACGCAAGGGACCAATTCTCCAAGCAGCTTCTGAGTTTGATCTGTTGGTATCAGTGATAACTATCTGAGTGACAGGCAAGTGGTCTTTGAAGGAAAGAAACCCAGTATCATTTGTCCTGAAAAACATAAATTTAAGAAAAAAGAGGAGAAAATGTGGATAATGTATGGACTCTTTTACCAAGACTCCTTTTTTTCAAAGGTGATCTGGGTGGTTGCAGTAACAGGGTGAGGCCCGGGAGGGGGAACCAGAAGGCTTTTCGTCTCATAAGCATATACAAAAGACTGGAAGGCCAATTCCAAAACCTTTGGCCAGCTTCCAAAAACCAGGGAAGTTACATTTTCTCTAAGTCTTTCTAGAAACACAGGTAATTTACAGAGCTTGCTGTTTCTTGTTGTAGCTGACAGCACCCCACCTGCCCAATGCCTTGTGGATGTAACATTAAACATCAACTCTCTTTCCACAGAGATTGGCTATCTCAGTAACTAACTTGAAATGGGCACCACAAATCCCACTTGAAATCACTCCCAGGACTTGCTCCAGCCACCTGCCTATAGGTTTTTTTTTTTTTTTTTTTAAAGATCCTCATTAATTTATTTGACAGAGAGAGATCACAAGTAGGCAGAGAGGCAGGCAGAGAGAGAGGAAGGGAAGCAGGCTCCCTGAGCAGAGAGCCCAATGCGGGGCTCGATCCCAGAACGCCGGGACCATGACCTGAGCCAAAGGCAGAGGCTCAACCCACTGAGCCACCCAGGTGCCCCTGCCTATAGGTTTTAATCAGCTTGGGATGCTTCTTATCACCTTTTAACTCCAGGTAAAAACAAGTCTTCAGAGTTAACCTGTTTTGCTGCTTTTCATTTTGCTCTATGTTTTAAAGACCTTGGGAGTTAACATCTTTGTCTTTGTTAATTATGCAAGCAGATAACTAGTTACCCTTTGGGGGAAAAAAAACTTATAAATAAATAGGGTGACAGTATTGTTTTTCCCTTTTTTAAAGCTGTGTTTTTGGATTCATGGTAAGAGCATACCATAATACCTGGGAGAAGAAAACTGCAGAGAAGAAACCTGCATTGAATAAATAACTATTCTGAGCCAGAAATATATTAGGGGATAAGTACATTTTCCCCACACAACACACTTGTGAAGTGGGTACCACTATTTTCATTCACAGATGAGGAAACTGAGTCTAAGATATATATCAGACAACCTATCTAAGTTCACAGGACACAAAAGGCAGGGCCTTGATCACATATGATCTACCTTGTGTCTAAATATAACAATCTTGCCATAAATAGTCATGTCTACATTTAACAAAAATACATGTTTATATGCTTTGAAGATGCCTGTATATTATGTGCTAACATTTCATTCCCACATGATAATCTGAAACTCGTGACTAATAAAACACTGACATTTCCGATTGAAGGCGGGGGGAGGTGTGGGTGGTGGGAATACAAAAAGTATTATATTACAGCAAGTCATGAAATAGTAACCAAAATTCTTCCAAAGCCTTTTTTAAGTGTGCCAGGTGAATTTTCCATTGTTATCTTGCTCCATTTAACTCATCCAAACATCAGGTGGCCTGCTATAAAAGATGATGGAACATTTTCATTTCCATGCTCCATCCATCCAGTGTGCTACCAACTTTAAATGACAAGCTGAACTGAGTCATATGAGGTAGTCTGAAAATTGCAGAGTGGGCTAGAGTCCTCACCCACTACAGCCTTAGTTAAGGACAGGATGGAACCTTTTGCCAGTGCATGGGAATTGGGGGACAGAGCACCACACACCAATATTCAGGGCAAAGTATATGATGTAGCAATTTGATAACAAGAACACAAAGGAGCAGATTCATATTGCCTTTCTCTCTGTAGTCACAAAGAAATCAGCAAAACACTGAACACACACTCAAAATCAATGTCACATTTCATTATCATTTACATATCATTTACAGCTCTGGTTTAGAGATAAAATAATATCCCTGAATATTCTGAACTGAGGACGCATGGCAGGAGTAGTGTGATGTGATGTGCTAAGGGCATAGCTTCAGAAGCACACAGATTTGTTCTGGAATCCCAAGTCCCAGTTCCTAGCTGTGTAAGTTTGGGCATATAATTTTGTTTCTGAGATTTCCCCAGCATCCTCAATTTTAAAATGGAGATAAAGTCTATACCACAGAGTTATTGAGAGAATTAAATGAGTTCATATAATCACTTAGCATGGTGCCTAATCTATGATAAATGCTCAAAAATGGTAGTGGCAACACTCCTTTCAGTTCTTATCTTTGTCCCTGAAACCTCTGTAGCCTTAGGCAAGTCAATCCATCTCTTTATTTAGCCAGCTATAATTCTATATGGGAGTTCTCATACTACATAGAACACTGTAGAAAATTAAATGTTCATGTTTGGCATCCAACTCATGAAATTTGGAGAAAAAATATCAATTCATTTTGGTTGTAAATAAATGAAATAATTACCTGCACACATACCCTTCAGATCAAGTAACCAAAAAGGTAAATAAATGCACAATCCATTTTTTATTATCTGAATACCTGTATTTAGAGGCAATTCAAAGGATTAGGAATAAGGCTGCTGTTTCTCTTTGAAAGAACATCTATGAATGTTACAAAGACAAAAGGTAAAATTTGAGTCTTCATATTTCAATATCTTTTCAAGCACAGAATTCAAAGCAAATTCTAAGTAGTCAAAGTTGAATAAAGACAAACCTATATGTAATTCTAAGAAAGTATATTGCTCTAGGATTTTGTTTCTCTCCATTTTTATTTTCAAGGTGAAAATGGTTGATTCTGAAGTCTGTCCATCAATGCTAACTACTGTCTCCCTTCCCCACTCTGGTACCCTGTCTGCATCAATTTGATGTCCTGTGTCAATGAGCTGGAATATATAAATAGCATTCTAAGAATAAAAATTTCTTCCAAGGAACAGAGAAAAAAATTTCATATTTAGTTAATGCAAGGTACAATACCAAAAATACTTTTTTCTTTTTTTTTAATAGATACAAAGTCAAATTCCTACAGGGGCCAGAGGAGTAACAAAAACAAGTGAAGCCAGCTTTGGTTTGGATAATAAATGAAACCTGACATATAACTTCATTGTCAGAGAGAGAGAGATAAGAAGAGAAAGAGAGAGAGAGGTTAGAAAACTGGTAGAAAAACTCGTTTGGACTAAAGGAAACTGATATCCGTTAATAACAAGTAATTATGCTTTTAATGAACATCAAACAAGTGGGTCACACTGGCATATTAATGTAAAACTCAAATTTTAAATTTTGACAATGGATTTAAAATTCTGAAGAAACAAAAAAGAGTATGATGGGAGCCAATACTGCAATGCCCAAAAGAATGTGGGGACTGTGTTCTGCTTATGGACAACCTAGGCATTTAGTCATTCTCTTAAGGTCACAGTGAGAATAAAATTGGATTTAATTCAGTTTGTGACAGGTATGATTCAAACATTTCAAAGATTCAATGAGTAGAATATCCGAGAGCTGTGGTTGGTGGTGGTGGATTTTAGTGTACAAGATAATACACAGTGATACAAATTAGGGTAGTACCTACTAATAAGCAGGGAGTCTACAGCTGTACATTTTTTTGTGCACATTAACTTGTTTTCCTTTCTTGTTTGTTTGAACTTGCCTTCTTAAGGGCAAACACTTTATAAACTTTGTCTTCCTTTGGAATAATACACAAAATTCTCCCTAAGAGTACAGGGTACTCACATAGTTGATAAATGCAGAAAGGGTTATGTTGTAGTGAAAAAGCATTGCCTTTTGGACCAGACTATTATGGGTTGAATCCATGTAACTCAATATACTAGTTTATAAAATGTTAGTGAGGTTATTCTAGGCTTCAGTTTCCCTATCTCTAAAATGGGGTTAATAATATCAATTTGATTTTGTATAAATCAAAGGAGATAATGCATATAAAACTATTAACACACTAACACAAAATACGTATTCAATAGTTATGACACTCCCTGTTAAGTTTGAAATAAAAATGTGAAATACAAATAATTTTTAGAGGAAAAGTTAGAAAGAGAGTCTCACTGTTGGCAGGAATGAGCAGAGGCCAGTCACGGATGCCAGTCAGAGACTCCAGCTTATGGAGGCTCTAAGGGTACAAGTCACAGATATGTGTGGTCCTCAGGAAACCCACATGAGCTAATGGAAAAACCCATCAGAAGCAATGTGGTCTCCTCTTCCTTTATGTGCCTCTTGGGATTTTACCAGGTTCAGGATTTCAGGACAAAACAGGGGCCGCTGATTTCTTTAGTGAATCATTTGGGTAAAATGTGGTGAAAAGTCATATGCTAACATTTTTGTTTTCATGAATCAATCAAATTTGGTTAACTGCGGCTCTGTAAGCTTCTTTTAGCAGAAACGTTTGGGTCACTGAGCCTATTAAGAGAGATTTTTTTTTCCTTTATTCTATGTTTCTTTCTTTTAGTCACTTGAAAGTAAAAAAAAAAAAAAAACAAAATAAAATGAAACAAAACAAAACAAAAATACATTATGCATAAGGTAGGAATACCTAGCAAATTATGCAAAAACTGAAGATTCTAGCACCCTTTGAAGCCCCTATGTGAATCTGAATGGGTGAGTCTCAGGACTTTCTGCACAGCCTTCCCTTGAGTGAGTGACATGATGTCCTCCACTTTCTGTGGCTGCAAGGTGTCCATAAGCAAGTCTGCAAGTCTGAGGTACGGTATCGATGCTTGCCAGTAATTCTACCCTAACCTTGGTTAAAGCAATTATTTCCTCTGTGTCTTCCTTCTTAAGACTTCCTGATGAAAAGGACCTAGAGGATTAGCTTAAAGGTTGGTTGTCACTTAATTGCCAAAAAAAGCAAATGCAAGCATCGACTGCGGTCACATAGACAAGTGCACATCAGGAGGGCATATCCATTCCTCTCTGCCCTATACTGACCAGACCATGTCTGGATTCTTGTTTTCCATTCCCAGCATTAAAAATGTGAAGGGTAAAATGACGATTTTGCAAATATTTAAATATTTGGAAACTATAGTTCTTCTGTAAATATTCTAGAAACTTGAAACCATAGTGCTCTTCTCAAATAGGTATGAGGAAAACAAAATCAGGCCT